GACGTTGTGGCCCAAGACTCAGTTCAGAGGCAGGGGACAAATTAAAAAATCGTTACGTTATGATGCGAGCTGGTACAAGAGAACATGAGAAAGATGCTGAAAAAAGATTATCGATACCTATAACAGTCCGGCAGCTTGAAGCTATTATACGAATTTCCGAAGCCTTGGCCAAAATGCAGTTACAACCCTTTGCTACTGAACTCCATATTAATGAAGCTTTAAGGCTCTTTCATGTATCTACATTGGAAGCTGCAATGTCTGGTTCATTAGCAGGTAAGCTACAAATTGATAAATATAGAATATATTATATTTCGTATGTATAGCCCAAAAAAATACTTTACAAAGTTTTATAACGTGTATATTGCGATCTGTCATCAGGAGCAGAAGGATTTACCTCGGAAGAGGATCATGAAATATTGACCCGCATTGAAAAACAATTGAAGAGTAGATTTCCTATTGGACATCAAGTATCTGAACAAAATATTGTGAAAGATTTTCTTAAGCAGTCATTTCCAGAACGCGCTATTTACAAAGTTATACATACGATGATACGCCGCGGTGAACTTCAGCATCGTTTGCAACGTAAAATGTTATACAGACTGCATTGAAAAATAACAGAAACTTCTGCGATGTATAATTACATAATACATTTACAACGTATCATGCTCGTTTGGTATGTTATGTATTTCTTGTTCAACTATTTTTATACAAACTAATGACTTGCATGTTAAATTATGATTAAGGAAGTTCATTTTTAAACGGATACTGTGGATGATGTTCAATTCTGAAATAGACAATAATGTAAGTAAATTTTATATGAATTTTACAATTTTTATAAATTATAAGATATAGTCCTTAAATACATTTTTGTGACGAAATATAATAACAAGATGAAACATATTTTTTAATACTTACCCTTTAAAAAATAAGAAATTAAAAATTCGCCCATCAGTACCTCTGTCTAAGGTACTCAAGACTTCCATGTTTTTCTCTGTTAAAGAAAAATCGAATAAATCGATATTTGACTTGATTCTTTCTGGGGACGAACTCTTAGGGATAATTACAACACCTAGTTGTAGTAAATGACGCAATAAAACTTGTGCTGTCGTTTTTTTATGCTCTGCAGCAATTTTTTTAACAATCGGATGATTTAGCAAGTCAGAAAATGCACTTGAAGTATAGTTATATTTTGCTTGAAAGTGCGTCTTTGCAGCTGGAGAGCCTAATGGACTATAACCTGTTACAACGATATTATACTTCTTGCATAATTCTCGAATTGGCGTCTGCTGCATATATGCATGTAACTCTACCTAAAAATGTTAAATATCGTTATCTTGATAATGTCTTATCGATGTGAAGATTAAACTGCATTTAATAGATAAATTTATATATCGCTCAACGATTTACCTGTAAATTACTTGGCTTAATTTGTGCGTTTTCCCAAATGGTCGAAATCTGCTTTTCGTTAAAGTTGCTTAAACCTATAGATCTAGTGCGTCCTGATTCAACTTGCTTCTCCATCTCCTGCAAAATAATTTTGCTCTTTCAAAGATTTCTTTTATATCATGACAATACGTTATACAAAATTGATTCCATACTTTCCACACTGAGACAGGATCTGTGTCAAAATCGAGTATGTAACTTCCATCCTCGTTCGTTGCTGCAGTGCACGTATTTTCATTGAATTTAAATGCAAAGGGCATATGAACAAGATACATGTCTAAGTAATCCAAGCTAAGTTTCTTTAATGATAATTTAATGAACTTTTCTACATCGGATGGTCGATTACCAAAATTGGGTAACTGAAATAAAATTTACAAGATTCTTTAAATACAGTTATGTTTTTTTACAGAAAGACAGTAATATTATAAATTATTAAATAGTAAATTGCGACAATCAACTCTACTAAACTCAAATACGATACATTACCTTTGTCGTGATAAAAAGTTCTTCTCTAGTACCACCTTTGTCAAACCATTTTTTCAAAGCTCTGCCAATTGCATCCTCATTATTATAATTTGCTGCTGTATCAATATGTCTGTAACCACATTCCAAGGCAGTGCTCACAACAGTTTCAATCTCTTCTGGTTTAGCCTAGAGAAAAGTTATTTTACTCTTTTCACCAGATCACTTTGTATAAACATTTTGTTATAAAATAGTGATGACAAAAAAATACATGATTGGTAAGATACATTACTATTATCAATTATCATTATAACATTCTAATATTATTTTGTCACCTGCCACGTTCCTAGTCCCACTGTAGGCATATCATATCCTGACAGCAATTGTATAGAATGCATGCTAGATTTCTTATTGATGTTCTATTATAACAGATGTAGCACAGTTGTCAAATTAAAAATGTGTTAAAACAGCATTGCCATTTAGAAATAGTTCCACATTTAAGTTCGTTACATCATATTAATTTTAGATCAAGTTTCGAGATTAATGTAGTACACTTGGTAGGTGATACACTTGGACAGGCTGTTTCTAAAGTTAGAATAGCTGTACACTAGCGAACACGCGAGTCTCTAAGGTCCCTGCATATAGCAATTGTAGTCATATATATCGTTTCGAAGTCGTATTGATTCGAGGAGGGTTGCGCCGCCAGATAATTGATTTCAACAAGAACGTGTGCTATTTTAAGAAGAAACAAAATTGAAACAGACTGTGGATAATATTTGAAATTTATATTAAAAAATGCTATCGACTTTTATACCACTATAAATTATATGATCACATGTAACTTTTTCGCTAGAGCGAAAACGTGAAAAGTGAAAATTTTTATGTATGCATGTTCGTACATATACACACATACAAAGAATTTTCACTTTTCACATTTTCCACCCTAGGGAAAAAGTTACATAATCGCTACCCTTAACTGAATCTTATTCAGATCACCAGCTTCCGTCTCCTATTTTTCACGTATTGCACGTCGTCAATATTCAACTTTCAAGATTTATCTCTCCGTGATCGACATTCGACATTCTATGAAACAATAAACTAAAACAAATGATATCGTAAAATTGAACATTGGCGGTGTTCCAACGTTCAATTTTTCATGGTGGTGTTCCAAAATTTACTAAGGATCTACAGTGCGCGCAAGTGTACGTGACGTAAACTATAGATTTTCAGTTACTGGCTGAAACTTCAGTAAATTTTGGAACACAGCGAATGATAAAATAAAAAGATATAGGGTGTTTGTTAAGTAAGATCGGAACCGCCGAATTGGGGGGTGTAGAATGAGTTAAGGGGAACAAAAAAGTCTTATATCATTTTATAAATTTTTTCAGAATTTTTTCAGAATTTTTCAATACCATATTTTCTCATAATAAAAATAAGAAAATGCAATACTAAAAAGTTGATAAAAAATTCTGAAAAAATTCTTAGAGTTCTATGAGAAGAAAATAAACAATTTTTATCTCTTATAGTTTTTTTTTGTAAAATTGATAGTATTTGAGAAACAAATTATAAAAAATTAATATTCGGCCATTTTTAGTAATTAATATTGTATTAACTATTACTATGAAAATTGTAAAATTCAATGCGGCTCCGATCTTACTTAAGAGACACCTAAATATGAAGTACACCTGTATACCTAAATATGACACGTTGATAAAATATAACACGGCTGCGATATAATTGCGGTATACAATTATATTCATATAAATCAAGCGTAAAATTTAGAAAGGATTATCTTCTCTTGCCACGAGTTTATAATCATATTATTTATTTTTATATACATAAAAATAGATTTGTTTTTAATTTTAGAAAAAATAATTCATGTGTGTACAAAATACGTGTGCGCACGCACACACAAGTCTTTTGAATATATTTAAATCTTACAGTAAGGATTGAAACAATTGAAGAAAATATATGCAACAAAATATTTAATGTTGTAATAATAAACACGCTTAATTTTATATCGAATCCAGAAATCTATTTTAGAGCGTCATGTCATATATACAGTCTCATTTTTTTTTATTAAATGTAATGTTTAAAAATATACATAATGTAGTACAAAAAATGTTTAACTATCTAATACTTATTTTGTATGTTCGATCTATTAACATACATTCCAATTACTCATCATTATTAATTTCACATAATTATTATGAAAATATATTTTTCGGCTTCGATAATATATCTTAGACTAAAGTCATGTGTTTACTGTCTATCAAACTGTAAAGTATCTCTACAGGCTTGGACTTTTCATTCCTTAATTTCCTCATACCCTCGCAGATTTCTTTTATATATTTCTTATGCCGTGGATGTCTATAAAAATAATATAATCAATATTATCGACACTAGTAAAGATTGTTTATTATTTTATACAACATAACATAATATATTAAATATATGTAGTATGTAATATTATATATATATATTTGTGTAATACTCACTTGTCTATTATAATCTGAATACTTTTTTGGAAAGCTTGTTCCTCCTCGTCGATCTCCAGAAAACTGATTAGCGTTCTTATAACAGATATTTCCAAAAAGACTGCAAAGATTTCTACAGGAACTTTATGTGATATTCTTTGCAAGTAAGATGACATTTGTGCTAATATGGTATTTTTGAAACTTCTTTTGCCACTTCCGGACAGTTTATCTCGCTCAGAGAGAATGAAACCTACGGTAACATTAACCGGATTGCTAGGCACTACTGATATATCATTCGCGCTCATTTTACTTTCGGACCTATTCAAGATTGGCAACGCGTTTTCGGACTGTCGTTGTAAATATTCTACAATATCCTGTATAGTGTTCCATTTCTTCTCTTGAAATCGGTCCCTTTCCCATGTTAGCACTCTTAAAGTACTATTTCTTAATAATACTATATGACTTATAGAATTTTCTTGGCAGTATTCTAGTATTTCCTCCATAGTGCATAGATCTAACGTTGTAACCTTCAATCCTAATGACCAGATTTCCCGTAATATATTAATCATGTCCTTTTCTCCTCTTCCTTCGTTTTCTGAATTTCCCTCGCAGCATATAGCCACATCAATACCGTATTTACTTTCACTACCCTCACACTCCTCGACACCAGCGGACACCAATTTATCTAACGATATACTAATACCAGCACCGTATTGTTTTATTTCCTTACTGGCCATTCCGGTGCGCTCTAAAACTTTTCTAAATGACACTAGCATTTTATCATATCGACCGCCCGCAGCTATGATGTCTTGACCACATCGTCTCCGTCTATACTTCAGTTCGCAAGTTATTTGATATATCACACCACTATATTGTTGTACATTGTACGTTAATAAAGGTACGACAGTAATAGGCCACTGAAATATGATAGAAAAAGAAATAAAAAGAATGCTTATGTAAATGACTTATACAAATTATATAAAGACATTATTATAACATTACCTTAACACCCAAACTTTCTACATTAGATGTTACAGTCTCTATATCGCTCATGCCTTCTTTGGCTAAACGAGCAGCTTCTCCTTTTCTTTTCGTTAATGTCCTTAAGACACTATTGATTTTCGTAACAGAGCTTTCCGTTTCAAGCAAATTAAAAAGCGTTTCCATGGCTTGATCGGTTAAGCATAAACTTATCAAATGCGTTTGGACTTGAAATTTAGTTAACTTTCCGTCGCGAGCATCCTG